TAAATGCCATTGCGCTACTGAAATTTCAAAGCTGCAGCTAGAAGCCTTATGTTGTTCCACTGGGAACGTGAAAGAACAGGAAAACAAGTACTTCTGTCAACTTTCTTACTCTTGCTGGATGATGTGTACCCGAGTTTCATGTCAGAGTCTTTTTATTCTGTGCATAACTTTATTTCATTTTTTTCGCTTCTAAATTATTATCCCAACTCAAAGAAATACTCATGGAGTGTGTTGTACCATCGATCATGTGAGTACTGACTGGAGTTGCGTGTTAGTGGGGGGGGGGGTAACTAACTTCGAGGGGTAAGTACATGCAGGTACTGATAATTGTGTCAATATATATATATATATATTACATCCTTTAGTTCCTAGAGGAACATAGGGTTTCAGCCGCCCACGTCTCCATTGCATCCGGTTCTCCACCAACGTTTTCACCTGGCTCCAGGTGTCCCCACATGCTTTCATCTCCTCCCCTTCACATGACCTCCTCCATGTCACCCTCACCCTCACATTGACGATCAACTCGTCGCTTCGCTTTCGGTCGGGTTCCACTTGAGCAATAGCTTATCTAGTGATGTCACTTGATGGTTTCCTCAGCGTATCGCCAATCCATCTTCATTTCTTCCTGCCTATTTGTTTCACAATCGGTTCCTGCTTGGTTCGCTCCCAGAGATCTCACCCCGTTGCTGACCTTTTCTGGCCATCTGATCTTGAGTATTGGGCGAAGACAACTGTTAATGAAGGTCTGAAGTTTGTTTGAGATACTCTTTATGACGCGCCAGGTCACTGATCCGTATAGTAGCACTGACTTCACATTGGAGTTGAAAATCCGGATCTTATTTTCATTTTCATGCTGAGTGATGTTGACCTCCACACAGACTTAAGAGTAATGAAAGCTTGCTTTGCTTTGGCGATCCTCGCTGCTTTGGTGCAATCCTCGTCAGTTCCATTGGCCTGTAGTTGAAACGCTGCTTCCCAGTTAGGTGGATAGGTAGGTGAATGAGGTTGTTTCTTTCAGGTTCCTCCCATTTATGCTGGCTGATTGTTGTCTGTTGTTGTTGCTGCAGTTGTTGTTGGCCAGGAATCTTCATCACCTCTGTTTTATCTATGTTCACCTGATGTCCTATCTTTGATATTTCTTCTGTCGACTTGTTGCTTTTCACTTGCATATCTTCCAGTTTGTGGGAAATCAGACATATGTCATCATCGGCGAAGTCCAGATCCTCCAAGTTTCTTGTGTGAGTCCATTTTATGCCTGTTTCCTGATTGGCCGTTGTCTGTCTGTCTGTCGCACTATCCAATCTACTGCAATCAGGAAGATCATTGGCGATGGTAGACAGCCTTGCCTCCTCACTCCCTGTTATAACTGTAATGAATTGAATGAAGACGTTTTCACCTTGTTCTGTCTGCGCCTGAACTAATCTGCCTATCTGCTTGTCGTACCTTCCGAATTAGTAAAGCACGCAAATATCAAAAGACAAAGGCTGGACTGTGACTGTGTATTGAAGTGCAACAACGACAAAGAAAGCCATGGTATTTATACATTTTACAACAATATGGACAGCTAACAGCATTTGAAATAATTGATCTTAATAGCCAATAACAAAGTGCGTGAGAGATGATAATATACCATATGTGCGAGATTGACAGTCAATAACAAAATGTGTGGGAATGATAATATACCATATATGCAAGATTAACGGTCAATACCAAAATGTGTGAGAATGATAATATACCATATATACAAGATTAACAGTCAATACCAAAATGTGTGGGATCCTATCACTCCCGTCCTCACTCCGAAGGCTTCCACAAGTTTCCCGTTGTGGATTACTTGGCATGCAGCATTGTCGTACAACTAAGTGTTGGATGAGATGTATAATTGTCGATGGCCCCCTTTTAGTAGTAGCGAAGTAGTTGCCAAATGGCCTCTCAATCGACGCTGTCGAAGGCCTTTTCAAAGGCGATGAAGTTCAGATAGAGAGGTGGCTGCCATCCCAAGCTTTGTTCAATGATGATCCGTAGTGTGGCAATTTGATTAATACATGACTTGTTTCTCCTGAATCCAACAGAGGCAGCATAGTACATCTAATCTGGCTAGTGGCTATCAAAACAAAGTTTACCAACAAGGAAGGTTCAATGTGATGACGAATTGCTGCTTTAAACGCATAAAGGTGATTTAAACTTTATAATTGTTAGGGCTTCCACAAACTTTAAGACACGCCCTCCAATAAACACGCTTGTATAGATTGATTTAAAAGATGTGTTAACGTCAATTTTATGTCCTACCTCCCCTATAATATGTTTCGCAATAGGGGAGCTAGGTTTTCGTCTGCTCTCACCATTAATGGGTTCTGAAGATTCCATTTGTTTCTGGAGCCATTTAGAAATATGCTCTGAAGCCCTTACTTTAAGAGATCGATGAGTCCTCCCTATGGTTACCCGGAAAAGCTACCAGATAATATTATCAATAAAAAGGAGCAAAAAGGAAAACAGAAAATTGGAAAATCTTGGCTATTGACGATAGCCATTCCATATCGAAAGGCCACAGCTGAACAACTTCGAAGACTATTTGCTTTATATAATATTAAAATCTATTTCAGGCCCTCTAATTCTCTGGAGAGAGCTTTGGTGAATGTTAAGGATATAGTTCCCAAAATGTCACAAAGTAATTGAGTCAACAGGATAAAGTGTTCAGAATGTGGTGCATGCTATCTATATAGGGGAGAGCAGTAGGCAGGTGAAGGTAAGAGTGAATGAACCTATAGAGTATGCACGAAACATTTCCACCTAGAAATGAAGTAGAATTAAAAAGTCTAGAGAAAAGATCGGCTATAGCAATGCATGCGATAGACAGCGGACATAAGATTGATTTCGGCAATGTCGAAATTCTTGGAAGAGGATTTCATTCAAACCATAAAGAAAGGTTGACCTCTGAAGCGTTGCACATTTTAACCGTGTCGAATGCAGTGAATAGGAAGGAGAGAAGAGATAGACTTATCACCACCCATATGGCAAACTCTTATGAAGCAAGACAGATGAAAAAACAACAAAAACCTCTATGAACCTCCATGACCTTTTAAAACATGTAGTATAATGTTCATCACATGTGAATTGACATCTTTTCCATATGACAAATAACATACACCCACACACACACACACATCTAAAAATATACACAATAACAGTTTTCAAGTGTTGGTTTTGTAGGGATTTGGTTTGATTGTATGGAGGATTTAATCATGAGCTGACATCAGTTAGAGAACCACTGGAAAACCTGCAGGGAGTGCTAGACAGTCAGCTGTTTCGTCAGCCTAATTTACGACTCTTCAGCAGTACGCATCCCCCGCCAATGTTCGAACTCAGGACCTTGTGGTTACAAGACAAGCGAGGTAGCTCGTAGACCATTTAGCGACTGCGACTCGATCCAATTGACAGTCAACCTATGAATTCTAACTTCTGCCAATTCACGACATACCTCGACCATTTCGCAATGTCTTCTTCGATGAGTGAGTTACTGCCTCATCTTCAACCTGCTATACCCAACTGGTCACGGCATCCCACCAGAACCCAAGGTTAACTGCATGAATTAGGCCAGTCGCTAGTAAGCATCAGATTAATTTTCAAGTATTGGTTTTGTAGGGATTTTTAGTTTGATGAGATGAAGGATTTAATCATGAACTGAGATCAGTTAGAGAACCACTGGAAGACCTGGGAGTATTGGACAGCTGTTTCGTCCTCGTATGGGACTTTTCATCAGTGCGTACCCACCACACGGGTTCGAACCTAGGACCTGGGTACAAAGCAAGCTGACGAGTTCCGAACTAAGACGGGGTAAACAGCTGTTCAGTACTCCCAGGTCTTCCAGTTGTTCCCTAATTCCATATTAGTTTGTTTATTAGATGGATATATCACACAGTCAGTGAGTGAAACAGTATTAGTATTTACTCAGTGACAAGGTTTCGAACACACACAATTCATTATTGCTGTTCATAATCATACACATCACCAATTATAATCACACGACTTTGAAACTTGAGTTTTATACTTTCCTTTGTCTTCTCCTATTTCTCGTCATTGGGGTAGTAGAATTCTCTAGATGTCCAACTGGACAGGTGTTGAATCATTCCTATTACACGCATTCACTCTCAGTTGATTCGATAAACAAAGCTTCTGTTATCAATCTTCCCCACTCGCCAAACTGTTAGTTGTATTAGATTTTAAAACTGTCCTCTTATTCCATCCAGCCTATTGTATGGTTGTATGTAATTGCATGTAGTGCTATCTTTGACCCAAATAGGATAAGAAATCTAGAGAATAGTTCAGCTATCGCATGCAATACATGCAATCACACACAACCATACAATAGGCTGGATGGGATAAGCTGACAGTTTTAAAATCCAACTCATGTAGCAGGGTGGGTGTTTATCGAAACAACTGCGAATCAACACGTGTAATACGAATGATTCAACACCTGTCCAGTTGGACATCTCGAGAATTCTACTACCCCAATGACGAGAAATAGGAGAGAACAAAGAAAACTATAAAACTCAAGTTTCGAAGTCGTGTGATTATAATTGGTGATGTGTATGATTATGAACAGGAATAATGAATTGTGTGTGTGTGTTCGAAACTTTTTCATCCAGTAAATACTAATACTGTTTCACTCATTGACTGTGTGATATATCCATCTAATAAACAAACCAACATGGAATTACTTAATACCAAGTTTTATACATATATCAGTTGTTCTCTAACTGATTTCAACTCATGATGAAATCCTCCATGCAAAAAAAATAATTCGATTGTTTAAACCTGTAACAAAGTGGATCATCATCATCATCAATTTCACTTGAGAATCAGATTCTCCTCTCATAAGTTGGATGAACGATAACCTCAAAACTACACACCAGTTGAGAAAAAAAGTTAATGCATTAAAAAGAATCACAACAAGAACAACAGCAAAATATAAGAAATCTGATTGAAACTATCAACCTTACCCCTCGTCTTCGTATCCATTCGAAACACCAAAATACAATCAGCAGACAGACAGAAGCTAAAGATAGCAGATGAGGTGAATAGAGTAAACCAGATGTATATACAAGACCAGCAGCGAAATGAAACAGTTTACGAACTTTAAATCTTTTCGCACTATCAATTGACAAACTCAAAGTTGTATCACATCCTGATGATGACGATGATGATGAATCTTCGTTACACACCTCAAAATATTCACTTTGATCGGAGAAATCTGACTCTTGTGACGATAAAGGAGGAGGACAATCATAAAATTCCGAAATATTGGCAGTTTGACACAAGGTATTAGACTGGCGAGAAACAATAGTCACATAAACACAAAAACTAAAAAGACCCAACCAAAACATCAATAAACTAAAGTTCGTTGAAGAAATGAAACATTGATAAATTTGATCCACAATAAAACTGCTCGGAATTTGTGTACGACAGAAAGAAAACCAGCAACATCCACTAAAAATCGATAGGATGAACGCCATCAAAGAAGCATTTTTCAATGAAAAGCTAACAGAATACCGCTCAATTAGATAAAGCATTAAGAAGGGTATCAAAAAATTGCACTCTGTGATGATAAATACGGCACAGAGTTGAGCAAGCAGCAGAGCTTCACCAAAACTAAATGAAAAAGGAAACAGACTGAGCAATTCACAAAAAAAACTAAATATAAAAAGATTAGTAAACAAAGGACGGATTACTGTGATAACGCTTGTATAATTAGAGCATCCTACCCATAAACATAACGGAATGATAATTAGTCTGGAATTATTTGTTTTTAAAAGAAATATTGTAATTAAAGGAGATATAAAGAATTCAAGGCTGAGTGATTTATGTCCAGTTTTTAGGAGGAGAGAAGGAACAATAAGGCCTAACCATAATCCATACCCGACATGTTTTCTGGAAACACTCATCAATTGACGATAACGATCATCAGCTAACATTGCAATAAATAAATTCACACTCTGTTCTTGAATTTCATTTCTACAACAACAAAAAATAATAATATTAACAGTAATTTTCGCTTTAATATCAGTAAAAAGTTTGAGCATTGTGGATTAGATCATATAATGCATATAATTATATTTCAATAGTTTACACACAATGATAAGTTTTTTGTTTATTGGTAATATTTGGAGGAAAATTACTGGCCATGTGTGTTCTTACGACTGTTGGAATTGTTTTGTTTAAATGTAGATATTTATGATTTGTACTCATACACATACAGTTCATTGATTTTTCTGCTTTGAGAATTATATTCCAGGTTGTTGACACTTGTTGTGGTGCTGAGTAGTCACCCTTGTTACATGTATGCATCCGGTGTGACCTTAATGAATATACAATAGATTCTGTTATTAGTAGTAGTCTGTCTCTCTTCCGATTTGTTGATATTAGTTTTTCGAATAGATCCATTGTTCTTCCAATGGATATTGTGGTTTATGTGCCATGCATGTGCAGCTATCGATGATTTTTTTTCAAGATTCTTGTAAGCTTGTGTTCCTTCCTGTTGGTTGACCTTTGCCTAGGCGTCTATGTTGGTTCACTCCTACTTTGAGTGATCTGGACGTGTTTGACCCACATATTTAGTCGGACAGTCAGTCAGTCAGTCAGCACAAGATATCTGTTTGTAAATCAAATTGTTTTTATCCATCATTTTTATCGGATCTTTCAGTGGATTTATTTTATTTTTGATTAGATGCGTCGGTTTAAACGTATATGCTATCAAGATTCCTCTCGACAATACTAAGACCGACAAGAGACAACTCAAAAGCTAGAATAGTACATTCATTTGAATTAGTGAGGCGACTAAAAACCAATAAAATAGAGGAAGAGGAAATACTAGTCAGCTTTGATGTAAACAGTCTCTATACGAAAATACCCATTCAAATGCCTATGAATGCACTGAAAGAGAAACTAAAAGAAGACAATGGCCTGAAAGACAGAACACAGCTATCTGTAGAGGAAACAATAGAACGGGTGGAATCCTGTTTGACAACAACGTATTTCACATACGAAGAGAAAATATACCAACAAAATGAAGAAGGAGTAGCTATGGGATCACCTATCTCACCAATAATAGCTGACAACATATTCATGGATTATTGGGAAGAGAATGCCCTTAAACCATTCAGATCATCACTAAAATCTTGGTGGAGATATGTAGACAATACACTAGTAATAGGAAAAAAAAACAATACTGAGAGACTTCTCACACATAAACAACCACGTCGACTCAATAAAATTCACTATGGAATTATAGAATGAAATTGGGGGACTGCCTATGTTAGACAGCGAACTACAAAGAATGACAAATGGTAGCATAAAAACAACGATATATAGAAAAACCACACACCCTGGAAGATTCTTTGATTATCACTCAGCTCATCCACTCATGGAAAAACGAGGAGGATTAATACATGCTCTTGCAGATAGAATACGTAGACTTACAACAACACCAGACGACCAGTGTAAAGAAATAAAAGTCCTATTCAAAATGCTACTCGAAAACAAATACCCTAAAGAATTTATAAAAGATAATATAAGAAAGAGAAAAAAGAGGGTAAAACCGGAGAATAACAAAATGGAAGAATGCAAAAAACATTCACAATACCACATGAAAACGGTACATCGGAGGCAGTTCAAAGAAATCTCAAAAATATCGGCATTCGAACAACGTTTAAACCGACGAATATAATCAAAAATAAAATAAATCCACTAAAAGATCCCATAAAAATGATGGATAAAAACAATTTGATTTACAAAATATCTTGTGCCGACTGTCCGATTAAATATGTGGGTCAAACACGTCCAGATCACTCAAACTAAAAGTGAATGAACAGAAACACCTAGGCAAAGGTCAACCAACAGGAAGGAACACAAACTTAAAAGAATTTAGAAGCGAATTCATCGATAGCTGCATATGTATGGGAAAAATACCACAATATCGATTGGAACAATGTTTGTATTCCAAAAAAACTAACATGAACAAATGGAAAGAAAGACTTAGAACAGAATCGATATTCATTAAAGTCACACCGGATACATGTAACAAGGATGACTCAGTACAACTATCAACAACTTGGAATACAATTCTGAACAATCCCAACAGTGGTGTGAACACGGGCAGTAGTAATTTCGCTTGAAATATTACCAATAACAAAGCTTATCATTGTGTGTAAACTACTGAAATATAATTATACTTTATTTAATTTTCGAATTATTTCAGAAACAGTCCATCAATGATACAGCAAGGAATTTTCAGGATTTCAGTACAATATTGCATCTAATTCACTCAAAAAAGACGACAAAAAAATAAATAAATAAATGGCAAAGTTCAACAATAGCATCCCAGGAGTGAGAACGCGCAAATGAACTTGGCCCACTTCTGGCAGACTGCTTCATGGCCAGCTTGGAAAACGGCATCTTAAAATCAACAATGGACAAATTGCTGATGTACAAAACATACGTGGATGACACCTTTATAGTTTGTCAAGATGATTCCGATCTACATTGTATCTTATGGGAGTTTAATAACTGCCATCCTTCAATTAAATTCACAATGGAAGTTGCAAAATTAATCAAAGATTCCATTCCTGGACGTCGAATTGACAAGAAGAGATGACGGAACTCCGAGATCTATCCATAGAAAACCAATATGGAATGGCCAAATGACAAAATTCTACAGTTGGATACCTGTCTACCGTAAAGGAGCTCTCATCATCTCGCTAGTCCACCGTACCAGAAAAATTTGTAGCCATGACTGTTTAGAAGAAGAGCTCCTATTTTTCTCAAAAGCGTCCTGGTTCAAAATGGATACCCACCGCGTTCCGTGGAGAAGAACAAGAAACAAAGGCCCCCCAAAAAAGAGGAGAATACACTTCAGTGCAAAAGAAAACACTTTATTTGAATCTAGAATTCACGGGGGATCTAGGAGCAGATATCCTTCAAAAGGAGAATCTCCGATTCCCTGAAGAAGACTTTTCCGGCAGCAACTCTAAGAGTGATATTCTCTAGCCGCCCACTACTTCGTATCAACGGGAAAGACAGACTTCCGCATTTGACAACTTTAATGTGCAGATATCAGTTCACCAGCTCTCGCGGGGCTAGGTACATAGATCGTTCTATGCGGGTCTTATCAAAACGTGTTAGAGAACATCATCCAGCATGGCTGTAAAGAGGAGGCACTGGATCAATCAGAAGCGCAATAAGTGAACACCTCGTCAATACCTTTCACAGAATCTCAACTAACTCATCATTCAGAGTCATTTACAAAGTAAACGAAAATCTACCAGAGACAGTTAGTGTGTTTTCAACTTCTTTGTACTGCAGAAGCTCTCGCAATATGCATCGAAAAGCCGGAGCTGTGTTCAAAAGAAACTAGTCCAGCCTTTACAACTACCATGGACCTAGTTCGGTATATTCCCTTATCCCTCTGTTTTTTTCGTTCTCTGTGTGTGTAATTTTCTCTCTTTGCCTTCATTCAATTCATCCCATTTCCGTTTTCAGTTATAAAATCAGTTATTTTAAGTCTGTTTCCATGCTCCTCCTGATCACACTTGTAATCCGTTTAGAATAACCATTTTACAATTATATTCTAATCCTGTGTAATTTTCTTTTGCTTCTATGCCTCTTGTAATCTATATTCACACACACACGCACACAACCCTAACTTACATTTCAAGTTCAAAAAAATTCCGATTTCAATTTGTTTCCATGCTCATTTTGTTCACACCGGTAATTCGTTCTATCCCTGCTTCTCTAAGCCTCTTGTACTTCATATCAAGTTGACTGTGAGTTAGGTCAACTACATAGGTCAAACTAGTAGGTCAGGGGTAGTCAGGCTGTCGGAACATAAGAATTTAGCTAAGGTAAGAATGGTTGACCCAACTCGCGAAGATAAGTAATTTAGAAAAAAGCTCAGCACTACATTGCACTGCATGCATTAACACACAACCACACAATAGGGTGGGGAAGGGTTAAATTCTAAAAAGTAATGTAGGTTAGTGGAAAGAGGGAGGTTGATTACAGAATCCTTCTTCATCGAGTCTACACCCAACACAGCACGAATACAGGGGGCTCGTTTCGCATTTGCCAGTTTACGCCGACTCTGGTGTAGACGAGATGTTCGACTATCGACCAAAGGGCGGGTGTACTGCTCATCAGTCCGCTCCGTCCTCCTTTATGGTTATGAGACCTGGCCACTGAGAGCGGAAGACATGAAAAGACTAGCTGTCTTTGATCATAGGTGCCTGCGCTCTATTTCCCGTGTAAAGTGGCATAATAAGGTGAGCAACATTGAGGTTAGGCGTCGAGTGCTAGGTAAACAGGGGAAATCAATCGACAAAGTCGTGAAGCTACAAAGACTGAGATGGTTAGGACATGTGTTACGTATGCCAAGCCATCGCCTCCCTCGACGAGCAATGTTAGCGGATATAGGGTTAGGCTGGAAAAAAGCTAGCGGCGGTCAAACAAAAACTTGGCACCAGTCAATGAAATCCACAACAGTTGGCCTAAGCCACGTAGGAAGGTGTAGACTTCCAGGCTGGGGTCCTCGGGACGGTAAAAATCTATGGTTGGAAACAATTGGTGACATGGCTGAAAATCGTTCTCAGTGGCGCAAATGCATCCACTCCTTATGACTTATGATTTCCAGTGAAACTTTTGTTTTTCTTTATTACTCCTTTGTCTCACAACTCTGCTCACTGTTTCTATTATGCTTTTCTTGTACTTTCTTTCTCTTGCTTCGCGTGCTACACGGAGTGTGGCGACTTGAACTTCCGTCCTTCTCTATGGCTCTGAAACATGGCCAATACGCGTTGAAGACATGGAAAGGTTGACTGCTTTCGATCATAGATGTCTGCGATCTCTGTCTCACGTTAGGTGGTTTCACAAGATAAGTAATGTTGATGTTAGGCGTAGAGTGTTGGGCAAAGAGGGAAAATCA